CTTTTTCATTTATCCTTGATTTTCAGCAACCGATTCTAATGTGCACAGTTGCAGTTTCCTTTTAATTATTCCTAGTTGATGTTCCTGAATCTGTAAACACTTTTTTCACCAAATTTTAAAAATTATGGTCATGATTTCTTCAAATACTTTTTCTGATTTTTTTTTTTTTTGGCCAACTTCTGAAGTGCATATTAATGTATATTATAACTTTTCATATAATTCCAGAGGATGCTGGATCTCTGTTCTGTCTTTTCGTAATTGTTTTATTCTATCCTTCGGATTCAGTAATTTTTATTCATCTATCTTTCAGTTCACTAGTTCCTTCTATTATCTCTCTTTTGCTCTCGGGCTTGCCAGTGATTTTATTTCTATTTCAGATAATCAATTTTTCAGTTCTATAATTTCCATTTTGCTCATTAAGCCTGTTTTCTTTCTTGACATCTCCTCACCTTTCATTATTTACAAGAACATTTTCCTTTTGTTTTTGAACAGTTAAAGCAGCTGCTTTAAAATTCTTGTCTGCTAATTCCAACATCTGTATGATCTCCCTATTCTCTTTCTAATGGCTGTCCTGCAGTTCTTCAAGCCAACAAGAGTGTAGCTTTTCCTCCTGGAGTTTTACCCTTTATGGGTGACATAGATTATGGCTTTCCTTCTTACTAAATGCCATTAAAATGTGAAACTCACCCAGAGCAATCCCCTTAAACCAAGTGCCAATGTAGTAATGTTGGCTGTTTTGATTTCTGCCTGTTTTCACTCTCTGGTGCCTTCAGTTAGATGGATTTTTTGTTGTTGTTTGTTTGTTTGTTTTTGTAGTAGTTGCTGTTGCTTTGTCTGTATTTGTTTGTACTTGTCCAGAGCTTATATATTAGCTGTGAGAAGCTTGAGTCAATATGAGCTACGTGGCCATAATCTAGAGTTGGTTTTTTTCTTAGTATTTTTCTTTTTTTAATTTAGATTAATCCATTGATCCATCTTTAAGTTCACTAACCTTTTCTATGACATTTTTGATGTAATTTTAAATCTATATGGAGAAATTTTACATAATTTGTAATTTTCCATGCATGAGTTCACATTTGGTTGTTTTTATAGATTCTACTTCTCTCCTGAGATTCCCTTTTTTGTCATTTCTTAAGACTTTATTTCACGTTAATATCTTAATCATATTTTCAATAGTTACTTTAAATTATTTGTCTGGTAAATCCAACATTCAGGCCATTGTTGGGACTGTTTCTATCGACTACTCATTTTCGTATTTGTAGTAATTTTTATTATATAAGTAGACATTTTAGTTGGTGTACTATCAAGACTTAATCTGTTGTCCTCTTCTGAAAAGTGTTGATTTTTATTCCAGCAGGTAGTCAGTCGGTGACTGATTCCCTTAAGTGTCTGACTTCACACTTTGTCTGTGGAAAGCCCAAGTGTAAACCAATCTTCATAACTGTGATGGGACTCACACTCCAAATTCTGTCTTTTCTGTGAAGTTCATAAATTGCCCCAACACAAAGAGCCAGAGCAGCAGCCATGAGACTCATCTCATGAGTTTTTCTCTAACAATGCAGTGTTCTGCCACATGTTGTAGCATGCCTCTAATTGATTATCTTATGTATTTTGTATGTGTTTATAATTGTGCATGGCAAGGTAGCAGTCTGGTGCTAGTTACTCCACATAACCATATGAGAAAGTCCCTATCCTTTATCTTTTAACTCTTCTGCTAACAAACACAGCTCTTAGGACCACATATCCACTACCACCCCATTTTTCCTTCTTGTGTAACCAGTCTTACTAAAGTATTATCCAACACGGCCATCTAAACCCTCTCTGTTCCCGTTCATTCATCATCATTTTGTAGTCTGACTTCCAGCTCTACTATGACTGCAAGGAGCCAATTTATGATCATCAATTTCTTTCATGTCATTAAATAAGAGAGAAATTATTCTCCTAAATCTCAAGAAAGAAAGAATTGACTTATATTTGATTCTTTACAAAGTCTTTCAGATTTAGAGGAATTTTTTGATTTATTTTATTTAAACAAAATTTTCCTTTTGAAGAAGACTCATCAGCCTGGATAAAGTTATCACTGCAGGTTTTAGAGGCTCATAAAGGTCACACAATATAATTGGTTAAAAAGAAATACCACATGTTCTCACTGGTGGGAGCTAAAAATAAATAAATAAATTCACTCACACACACACACAAAAACCGGGAGGCGGGGAGAAGAAGATATAACAACTACAATTTTTTGAAGTTGTTACAACAAGCAAACGGAAAGGACATTGCTGGGTGGGAGGGAGGAGAGGGTAGAGGGAGGGAGGTTTCGGTAATGGGCCATAATAATCAAACACATTGTATATCGACAAAATAAAAATTTAAAGGAAAAATAAATAAATAAATAAATAGAAATTTGATGTAATTTAGTAATTTTTTCTGGGGATGTGTCCTCAATTTTAACTACTGGGTGTTTAAAAATAAGTCTAAAGATAACTAGAAAAATAGTATTGTAAGATAGAATATAGGGACCACAAATACATATTTACAGGGAAAATATATTTTCATTTAAGATATTGTCTTAAAGTTTTTGAATGAATATTTGAGCATCAGATCTAGATTTTTTTTAAAAAAAAATGTTTTATCTAAAAGAATTTAGAGGGTACTGAGAATGATGTATTAGGAAAATCTGAGTTAAATGAAACAAAATGTTCTAATGATTATGAAGATGCCGGTGTCAAAGATACATTTAAAGTATTTGAATGAAATTGTTTCATAAAATATCAGAGTTGCATTTCTGTCACTCAGACAGGAGTCCTGACATTGAGGTTACAGAATTAGGCAGAGACCAAGTCATTCATGTGCTTACAGGCTGGTGAGCTATTGACTTTCTAAAACTCATCTCAAATTTTCCTTTCTTTTTTTTTATTGAAATGATCTCCAACTGCTATGCCCTTGCCTCCACCCACAAGTCAAATCTTATCATATATTTTTCCTTATTCTGATTCACTGCTTGTTTTATTGAGTGTAATTATTTGCCTAGATGACATGTACTCTTCAGAGCTCTTATTGCTAAATGGGTCATAAAATTCTTTTTTTTCACAACTTCTTGTACAAAGTTTGGTCTTTAGTAAATAGTGGTTAGAATAATGCTAAATACATGCTGCATCTCTTTTTCACCCTTTGTCTTCATTAAAAATGGAAATCAATTAGAATAGTAATTAAAGTAATTACAAATACAGCTAAGTGACCTCAGCTAAAAGGCAGGTCAGAGAGAGAGATAAGAAAAGGAAAAATAATCTATACAGTTACAAGAATTTGCAATTATGTGTATCTGCTCAAACATGTCATTGTTTTTCACTCACTGGTTAACATTGTTAAAATGTTTCATTTAGGATTACTACTTTTTATTTCCATAATTACTGCAAAACCTTTATCTAAAAGTCATTTCTAATAGTTACCCTTCATTTTGATCTGGGTGTTGACTGATGTTAGGAATTTCTGATCATTCAACTCTGAAAGCAATGACAATACTCTAAGGGCTTAGTCCACGCCAGGGAGAAGCATCATATTCCCTAAATCAAGTGCTCTAGTCATCTGGGGAGAGAGGATACACATCCAAAGCTGCCAAGCAGAGTTCTAAATTGAGAGAAGGGCACCGGTGGAGCTGGAAAGGCATAACTCATCTCCCCTATACAGCAGGAGGAAAGAGGCGAGGCACCAAGCCGCACCAGGGAGAGAACCATGTCCTGCAAGACCGTACAGCCGTATTGGTAGTGTCTACATCTGATAGAAGAGGTTTTGAGATAAGGACACACTTCATATATTTGAATTGACGGGTTTTTTTTATGATATGCTCTGGAATGGTCAAAGGAAGATTTTGAGAATTCCTCCCATAGTGGGACATTGTAATTGGCCCTGTGATTTTGAAGATATTCTCACATTATACTTTATTAATACAGTTTGGGAATCATCAAAACTAATATCTCAAAATCCCTGTGTCACTGATGTATTGTAGCCATCCACTATGAGAGAATTTTAATAAAATGTTTTTAGTTCCTCCAAAGCAGCATAAAATATCCATGCTCATTTAACTGAAACTTTCAATGTGGAATATTTTCACATTGCATTGACAGTCATTTTGTTGACAGCCATTTATCCATGATAGATAGCTACATGTCAAAAGTGGGGAAGGCTTGACAGCATAAAGGGCACCCACCAAGTATTATCTGCCGTTAGCAATGTTTCCCCTCAAAAGATGTTCATGTCACCAAATGTTTCTTAAGTTGCAGGGACCTGCTCATTTTACAATAAATCCAAAGAAAAAAAGGCACTTTATGATAACCTGAATGTAAATTAATAAGACTGTTCATGAGAGATGGTCCTGTTAAGTGATTGTCTAAGAATATTGTATTGAATTAATTTAACTTTTTGTACTGTGAAAAGTTGTCATAAAGCAAACGTTTAGATAAATGTGGTTATTCTAGAGGATGCACAGCATAAATATGTTGTACTGAGATTCTGATCTTTGTTTTCACATGCTGAGGAAGAAGTAGGATTTTCTAGAGTTAGTTTTATGCATTTGGGGGAGTTTCCAGTAAATATAAATTAACCACATACTTTCCCATGCTTCCCAAAAGGTTTTACCTCACTTTATCCCAGGCATGGAATTCACTGAATTCATAGTCTGTTTCATTTAGACATCAAATAAAACTTGAAAATGTAAATGGAAAGTGGATGTCAGTGATATTCAACCTAGTATGAACATGTTTAAATCTATAGCTTTCCTCTCAGCACCTAGTTCATCTCAAAAATGCTGAGTTTTGACTGGGATAAGAGTGGGAAAAAATAGTTAAAATGGGCTTTGCAAAAGCAGGTGAGCTAACCTGGGTCACCTTCGTTAGTTCTGAGTAGTCAGTAGACAGCTTGGGGACACTGTCTGCCTAAAAGCTGGCAGTAGGTATGGCATAAACTAAAAAAAATAAAGCCTGGTAGACTGATCTGGATGAAAGGACTTTGGAAAGGTGGTGGCAATAAAAGTATGGTTGTCTAAACTATAACAGGAAGACCAAGACAATAACAACCAGCCTGGAAACCACTACCATCTACACATGGGACATCTCTGCATGAAAGTCTTGGATTGCCAGCCTCTATTGCAAACAACTGAGAAATTTCAGGTAAATATTAATAAAATTCTGTAAATAATAACATGTTCATTATCAAGCCATTCAAAGCATCAGAGAATAGTGAAAACTTCACCAGATGAATAACATACTGAACATAAAAATAACAAATCTTTATTTCATTATAAAAGATTTAAAAAGAGGGCATTCAACTGGCACTTGGTTCTTGATTTCTAAGACCCATTCTTCAATGAAAGGAATCAGGGCTTCTTGTAGAAATAGTTGGTTGTAGGGATTAGGAAGAAAAATTACAAAATGTGCCTGAAATATTTTGAGATGTTAGAAAGTTAGAAGGCACTCAAAAAATGATGGGACTATATATAAAGAATGGAGTGGCCTGTTTTTACGTAGTTTTCAATGTTCAAATATAAGACAACTTAAACAACAAAATAAGTAATGGTAGTAATAGATTTTAGCTAATAGAATAAAGTATCAATAAAAACAAGTATCAGTGCAAAAGTTCAAATCTCAATGTAAGTAAAGAATTGAATACATAAAAAATGAGAAGAAATATGTTCTTCCATGCAGCAGAATTCCAAAGAACTAATATAGAATACACAGTGGAAATATAAAATAACCATGAGGCAAACTCCACGGCAATTGTGGCAGGCAGGAAGCACTGATATGTTCTAATGTATGATGAGAAACAGGACATTTGCATACTCTTAAAGTATCTCCCCACAGATACTCCTTAACTGCAAAAGTTTTTTTGCATCAGCAGGTATAAGACAGAGCTATCGTGTACATCCTGCATTGATGCATGGAAAAGGATGCAACATCACCTCTGTTGTATTCTTGCCAAATATACGTAAATTCAGTCTAAAAATGAGAAAACATCAGACACACCCAACTTGAAGGACATTCTGCTAACTGCCTGCCAATATTCTTCAGAAGTGTCAAGGCCCAAAAGACAAGGAAAGACTGTGGAATTTTCACAGATTGCAGGAGGCAAAGGAGACATGACAACTGAGTATTATGTGGGATCCTGAATTAGATACTGGACCAGTAAAAGAGCATTAATGAGAAAACTGTTAAAATTTGAACAACTGTTGATTAATTCATAGTATTGTATCAGTGTTAATTTACTGGTTTCCATTGTATTATAGTTGAAAGTTTACAAGAATTGTGTACTATATTTGCAATTTTTCTCTAAATCTATAAACACTACAAAATAAAAAGCTTGAAAAAATGAGAAAAATGTGTTTTGTCTTTTTTATTTTATTTTAACAAAAGCTCCATTTATAGGCGGGATCTAGGAAATGGTTAGTATATGTACAAGTGTAGAAATGACCATCTGGCATTTGGATATTTGGCTTGTTGCATGGTTGAGTTTTACTATATTTCATTTTTAAAGCAAAAACATCAGTGATCTCCTTTCTCTAAGTGATGCTTTAGGTGATGCTTTGCCACAAGGACTGCCTGTCTAAATTGCTGTAGGTACCCTCGAGAAATCTTGGCCAGGATCAATTAAGGTTGATAATCAGTGTGATGCTGTTTTAAAGATGCATGATCAATAAGAACGTTTTTTCTGTGAAATATGTCACAGCATCTACCAGATTCTTTTTTTTTTTTTTTTTTCCCCTTTTTTGTCTTTTTTCGTGACCGGCATCGGATTGCAACCCTCAGTGTTGCGCCCGTACCAGACCGGGACCGGCAATGGGATCGCAACCCTTGGTGTTGCTCCTGCACCTTGCTCAGCCAGTGAGC